GAGCACTAAACATAGCAGCAGTCTTGCTAGCATATTCGTGCTTGATTTATCAATTTTTTGGAGTGAAGAGTGTGAAATTGGTCGTCAAGAGTGTCTTAGAAGGCAGTTAATGAAAAAGCCATCATTTTAATCTCGGCGAACAAGCCCACTACTGATTTCGAACTAGGGCTTCATCCTACACGGTCGAATTTATGTTGAAACTACTCGGCGCATACTACTTCCTAAATAAAAAAACCAAGAGGTTTGCTTCTGCTGTGTTTAGGAACGAGATATCCATAGGTAGGATGAGGTGATTTGCCGTTATTTGAGTTTATACGTAGCTGAGCTCGTTGTAAAGTTGTCAAACTTATTCTCGACCTTGATAACTTTACCGCTTTGATGAACCTGTGTTTTAAATGGTAGTTTCATAAAATTTCCATAGAGTTTTAAGAAAACTGAATCGACATCGTCCTTTCTTCATAGATTTTCAGGCTGTCTCTTGCTTTTGGGAAACAGAAGGGTTGTTTGTCACCTTGCTACTACGCATCCTAAAAAAGTGATAATGCTTAGTTTGCCTTGCCCCAAGCTCTGCTTCCGTACAGAGATGTCGAACCTTTTGTTGGTGTGCTCGACAACTTGACAACGTTGTGAATGTGAATCTATTGACAATCGCTGTTCAATAACCAGGAACATCTTTCCACAGTGACATCTCAAGCAATCGTGAGCACAAACGATTGCCGGAGTTGTTATTTGGGAGAATAGATGTATTTCTCAAAATTTTATAGATTTACTTTTTCAAAACCTATTTTTCATTAGTTTTGTCACCATTTCTATGTGCAATAAATGATCTGAAACGGTAAACTGATGATGAAGAATACCGGTTGCCATTACATTATCGGAAAAGTGAGTTATAATGAAAATGCTCGTAACATCTAGAGCAATTCGACGTCTGTTTCATGGAATTGTAAGAAATACCGTGGTCTGTCTTAATTGCTTTTTAGGGCGTAATGTCCGCAGGGATAGCAATGGATGAAAACGGTGCTTCGTAGCTGGTAGTGAATGAGTGTCTTGTTCAACTGTGCCAACATGTCCATGGCATATAAATCATACAAAGTTACCCAAGAATTTTTTAGACTACAGACTTTTACTCTCAATTGAAATATGGTGCTCACTTCAAGAAGACTTAGCTTTTCTCCCATGCATGATATCGCTATGGAATCACTCTACAGGATTATTTCTTAAACAATGTTTTCCAAAGTTCTTCAGTTAACACGATTACAAGCACAAGAGAAGATGTTTGTGTTATTGATTTACTAGGTTAATGCATTTATAAACAATACCGTATTAGACAGCACTAAAAGTAAACTTTTACTCAAACCGTGGAGTTCCAAAAATATTCACTGAGTAAAATTTCAATACACCTAAACAGTATAGCATACCATCGCACAGCTTCCACTTTACTGAAAAATGTGCTGTTGAAAAATGAGCTGTCATCCGAACAACATATCTTAAAAACTCAGAATGCTTAAAATAGTGGGCGATGTTGAATCAGAGACTGCGAACAGCTCATTGTCTGGGGCTTATGGTAAAGCGCACACATCTATGCAGTCTTTCTGATAACTTTTTCCTAAAGTTTCAAGCGTGTTAGAATGAATTAGGCTCATTATTTGAATGCCTAAAATGTCATCTTCACGAGTAGCGGAGTGGTCTCTAGAAAAATTTCTATTTGACGGGCAGTTGACTAGTGAGCAAAATTCCCTCTCCTTGAAGTCTGAAAAATCGCATTACGGCTGTTTCAAGTTGCCTGCTAGTGAGAACGATGTAGCCAAGATGGCATTGAGTCTTAGAAATTATAAACTTTCAGCTAAGCTTTTGGATGGAAGCATTGAGCATCTTTTTACCCAGGAGCACCGAGCAGTGAGAGTAATTTTTGCCACCATGCGATTTGATGCTTTGAAACATGAGTTTTGACAAGAGAGTGTAAAAATATTGAGGGAAATGGCCATAAGAGCTTCAATACTAAAATGGGAACACATATGTTATTCACTGGAGCGCGGGAAGTAAAGTAGAACTGATGCCACGAAATTACATGCAGAAGGCTCTCCTTTGTGCACACTCGTGCTAGCCTAGTTTTGCATCCTTCCTGGATTAAAAAATTGATACCAGACATGTTTGCTATGTGGTCCATCCGGCCAATTAAGGCCTATGGTGAGCATACTTGAATGTCTTAGTTTTGCTATTCCAGATTTTTAAAAAGAGCCTAGGTGACCAGCATTCGACCATATTAATAACGAGTACCAAGGTGCTTAATCGGCTGCCTAACCCACACGCAAATGCGAGGAAACCCTCAAGGATCACGGATGTGAGAAAACAAAGTGACTGAAAAAGATGCTAGAATTGGCATAGTGAATGTGAAAATGATTCATGTAAAACTAGAACAAAAAATCGTTTTCTAAAACACCCAGCCTAGTAAAGTTGTATTTCTAATTCAAATTCGTGTTTAAGTGCCAAATAGTGTGCCAAATTTCATGTCTGTTTCCAGTCAGAAGTTACAAGCAGCATGCTTGGCTTAAACAGTGTTTACGAGTTCACTCACCATACTAATGAAATTCACTGGTACACGAAAATAGTGAAAGAAATGTGGTATGGTAGTACGGAGACCGTACTATTCTTCCAGTAAAGTTAAAGACACATTTCCTGTGTATTTTTACCTGTGGTAAAGGATGAAAAAGAATAAAGCTCTCGGCGTTGATCAGTGCCAGTGGGATTCACTGCGCATTTGACTTTACTAAGCATCGTTAAAGGTGATTGAATGCATATGTGACCTATACACTGATTCGCGTGGCTTGCCGATTTATCGAGCTGCTGTCCTTCCAGACAAGTCTGGTACCAATTCGCTCACCCCGAAGGGATAGAAACCTTGTGAGTCATGGACGTAGGGATCGACCTCATGTGTGCCGCAGACCACCTCTAATCCCTACGCTACCCCCGCTTTCTGTAGCTGAGATACGGACTTTTAAGAGATAGTATTTACATATGAAGACTAGTGATTTTACATCGTGTAAATATCGACGCAGACCAACCTCAATTGTCCAACTGGAATGTGGTGGATTAGCGCAGCGCTGTTCATAGATGAGTAAGCCACAGATGTTTTTTTGTCATGAGGTTAATGTGAAGACGACGAAAATGAAAGCTACAAGGACTGCAACCAGGAAGATGCTGAAATATTAGAAAAACTTAGATCCTTAGTTATTCCCGAGGTCATTCCTGTTGACGGATGGTTGCTTATAGCACCACTAGACCAAAAAAGTGGCTGAGGGAAAGTCCAAGTAGGAGCCTAGATTAGTGTGATGGATGGCAAGTGAGCCCCCGTTAAGAGCAGTCGAGGGTTCGAAAGCACGCGGAAGTTTCGACTTTTGCTCATATCAAGCCACCGTCGTTGTTACATTTCACATCTTACATTGCAATGAAAATGGTATGGGCAATAAATAAAAGGCTAAATAAAGTGATAAGAACCACGCAAACGTGAATATGGCTGGTGATGGTGATGATGATAGTGGACGGTTTCCGGTGTTGAGCCAGTTTTACACCCAGACACCCATATACGTCTTCGCCACCCACCATTACCCGTCCGTCCATTACCTTACGCATCTACGCGACCTGTCGCAACCATCACTGATACTATTGATTATCAACGCGCTATGTCTTAGTGGATTCCATCACTGAAACAACTCTTAGATGATGTCACTTTTATGACTCCAGACTGAAAATTCATGAGAAAGAAGACTTTATTCAATTACTAAACTCTTCTCACCGACAGCAAATCAACCAGCTTCCTATTTTCTACGGACTTATTCCAGATGAAAACAAAAAGACGACTCGTCGTCACACTTTTCTGTAGTTGAATTTTTTTCTGATGATTTATGTTCTCAAGTTCGATTTGTATTTGAAGAAAAAGTGATGAGTTCAAAATAAACGACCATCGTGCCTGAAAGGATCTCATGTCATATCGTAACTCATAAAATATTCAATTGTAATTGACGTGGTGCGGGTACAGTATGATTTATTGTCCGCATTTAATGAAACAGAAAGATGTTGATAAATTTGTGAGGCCCTGCCTATTAGTTACATTATGATTGATGCGCTGCATTTAACCTTCGGCATTATTTCGCCTAATCTTTGTGTTCACTGGGCTTCTTTTCTTTACTCTCATCACTTTACCCTAATGACTGTCTTAATGTCATTCATTCTGGAGAACAGTTCATCCGAAGACAGAAGTGATATTATCAGTGAGAATCCCATTGATCGTGTGTTTCCCGCTCGTTCGCATTTGTGTTCACCGTCAATGTCATTACTAAAATCGGCAATACAGGGAGAATATTAATTCTATCATTTTTTTGTATAATAAACAATGAGTGAGTTAACAAAAGGCTGTAGAGGGATTTGTTTAGTTTTCCTCAATAGAGAAAGTCATCTACCATTTAGTGGGCAACAGCGAATGTGACGCCGTTAAGCTGGGAGCCTCTATCTACAGTGGATCAATAGGTGTAAGCTTAGAAAGGTTTCCATTAATGAGACTTGACATAGAGCATTACTGGTAACAACTTTTGGTTCAATGAAAAACACAATCACCAACTTTTTAAGGTACGTTAAATGATGTTATCTTAAGAATAAATGGTCAAATGAATAAATTCCTTAAGTTTGAGTTATTGCTCTCCCCATTGTCCCTATTTTGATGTATTCTTGTCGAAAACCGCTTTAAGTACTCGTAAATTCTTTCTCGAGATCATTTATGTGAGATAATCTCCTTTGATTTTTTTCACCGTTGTATACTATTGCTGTTAATACTATTGCCATCACTATTGTTAGTACTACAGTTTTTTGTTATTATTATTATTGTTCTTACTAGTACTCCGTGGAGAGAAAAATACAAAGAAAGTAGATAGTCGAATGCCTTCAGATTGATGACACTGGATATTTTGAGCGTAATTAGTGTTGATGAATGAGTTCGAGCAATTTTAATGAAAGAGCGGGTTGATCTCAATAGTAATGGCCTTTGCATCGAATCTAGAGCTAGAGTCCTGAAAAATGGGAAGGTTTGTTGGTTCCTTCTCAAATGCTTCTTTTTTCACCCCTTTTTTCCCTAAATATACATGTGCACTTAAAATTTTTAGTGGGTAAAGCGCTATATTTTATGCAAAAAACCAAGTGACGTCAGTTCTCCAATTCTGTATGTCTATAAATCGAAGAAGGATCGTAAATGCAACAATTCGAAGGTATCGCTCGTTTTGCAGAACTATGTTGGATTCGAAAGCGGTGAGTCTCCTTTTCGTCATTTTTGCCATTGCTTAAATACTATCAGTGCTTGGAAACCCTAAATTCACTATGTTTATAAAAACTTAATCATAACTCTTTAAAGAAATAATCAATCACTCACTTGCTCACTTATGAAATATTAGGTTAGTTCACAAGTGAATACGTTTTTAAAGTGTAAGTTTTAAACCGTTACAATTAGCTTCAAACACTTACATTATCAATTAAATTACTCTATAATCATTTCTAGGCACTATAGTTATATCTTTATTTATTATTGGCGCGCACATACTACAGTGGTTAGAGGTGCACTGCATTACATACGTTGTCTTTGGTTCGATTCCTCGCCTCACCAAGGCTTGGAGGGTTTGGAGAATAGATACCAAACTTCTCTGGTGGAATGACAGCACTGACTAGATACACCGGTAGGTCACTGAATCTCATCGTATGTGCCAGATACGCACTCACTCGACATCGAACTTTTGCTCGATGAAGGCGAATTTACGGCGAATCACTCACGGAATGATCAACGCTGAGAGCTTTATCCCTTCATGCCTCATTGTTTTAGATTTATTATTAGTGTCCTGACATTATATGTATCACATGTTGCAGATACCGGCATTTTTTGTTTTCCACTCGTTTCCTTCAATCCGTCATTCACGGAGGTCTTCCTTTTCCATGCGGGTTCAGTTGCTGCTTGAAGAATTTTCGTGTTCGTCACGCACGTCGTTGAATCCTCATTGAGTTAAATCTCTACGGAACCCTGAAACAGCTGTGGTAGCGCGTTCTCACGTGGGTTAAAGAGTGATTGATGCCAGAAAAGTGTGGTACCAATTTCCCTACTATGGAGAGATGGGAGGCCTGGTGAAACCGAGGTATGTTCCAGCCATTGGAATGGGTAGGTTCGCTTCCCGCATAATAAACGGCATTACTACTACTCTGCTATCCTCCATTTATTATAATTAGAATCAAGCAACCATAGTTTGAATCAAAATAGTCACTAAACATTTTAAGCTATTATAATAAAGTTGAGAACAAGATGCAAGCTTAGTTATTGTAGTATAACGGTATTCTAAAGTTCTGGAGGTAGCAAATTCTTCGAACACATCCAGAGTTGGTCGTCATAATTCTGCATCATCGTTCGTTCATGCCACGAAAACTACTCTTTTCTCGAACTTAATGTGGCGGACAATAAAATGGCCATTACGGCAACTGACAATTTTGAGAGAGTGGTTGGACTCATATTAGGTTATCGAAAATTCTTCGAGGCTGAATTTGCACCAGTAGAATGCTGTAGTGAATTCTTAGCGGTCGCCATATGGAATTATCTAAAACTTAAAAGTAATTATTAACTCGATTCATAGCGGCTGATATAAATGTGATCGCTGCAGGTCGGATTTCTACCATGAAAGGAAATAATTTTGAATGACAATTGATAATGAAACAGTCTTTACCTGGATAACCGCACAATGAGTGCATAAGGTTACTTCATTCCAGCGGCAAGTAATGGTCTTATATAAAAGCGCAGTATAAAATGAGGACACTTTACTCGATTCTAATGAATGCACTTAGAAGATCCGCATCAGAATAGTGAGCGTCTGTGGAGAAATCACAAAATAAGCGAATGACAGCGCTTCAGAACAAGACGAAAATGGTAAAACGTTAGCCACAGTAGTGATTTCCAATGACGTTGTACTAGCTTGTGAATAAACCGAGAGATTGCTAAAAACATCGGTACCAAATCAAAGTCGTTGTACAAAATTCTATTTACTTTTCTATTTATCCGTCCTTTATTTATACGACCCAACTTCGTAAAAGATGGTAAACCCAACACATATTTCTTCGGTTTCTTGTCTTGCATTCAACATTCACGAGCTCTTCGATTTTCACGTATGAATTCGGCCGCCACTTGATGGCTTCGTCTCATTGATAAGGGTTCTTGGATGATTGTTTAAATGTTGCTATAGTTAGAGCGGTCCCAAGTCTTTGCCACACAGGAAGTCGGTTATCACTGAACACATACAGCTTTCGGCAGGCAACTCTGGTATTAGTATGTCGACCACGCGGGGATGGGTGATTTGGTTCGATCTATGCGTGGTCGGGCCAGCGACCATGCTGGCACTGCAAAGCACCTCTAACCACTGCGCTTTCTCTGCTTCATCCATCGATTTACATCAGTTAGTTCTCTTGCACGACGGTGTCAAAATATGTGCCGCACAATTAACACTGGAGAAGTTGAACCCGTTATGCTACAAAATTCTGCTACCATACTTGCCGACTTTTCTCTAACCAGTTATTCTTATCTTAATGCATCTCGAAAGCAAAAAAAATTTTCCTAAAACTCAGCTACCCAGAAGATCCCTTCCAAGAATTTTTTTAAGAACTTCAAAATTCCTTCCTGCTGGAATAAACGAATTTTTATACCATGGGCAAAATTGGTGATTATAGGAGTTTTAGTCTTCATAAACGATGTTTTATTCACGCCTCCAAGGTTAATGAAACGCGGCTTCCTATCGTATTTTGAAATTTTTCCAATTTTTTCCCTATCTAAGATTTCTACAAACGATTAGTATGAGAAAGAAGCATAAACTATGAAGCTATACAACCTTTGATGTGATAACTGCATTCGTCAATAGGATCACATCCATCTTTGGGACCTCATCAAATGCTCGACCTTAAAGTCCTTCTAAAGTAGTTGATTTCGTAGAGAAGAGTTCCTTTTTAACCGACTCCGGAGTTGCTTAGCGAATTAACTTTTTCTGTTATGAGTAAAAGTCTTCCTGAACAAGGTGCACTACTTTGGGGTTGCTGAAACTGGAAGAGAGACTGCTTTTCCCTTATCAATTGCACATCTTGTAGTCATGAGTTTTGCATGAGAGTTCTTGAGGTCTTTGCGTCAACTAAATCATATCACCACTTAATGACCTTCAATAACCTTCGCACTTAAAAAACATGTCAAACTCCGGTACTTGGACACGACCTTACAATCTAAAGCTTTCGACTGTGTTCATAGGTTTTCTAAATTTCGAACAAATTAGTTGACCTAAGATAAAAGATAATAACGTAGACTTACTCTTCAATACATTATGAAGTGTAAGTGAAAATTTTGGAAAAATTACAACGCTTTAATAAACTTTGCTTATTTTAAAATAGCGAGAAGCCTTCCAATCACCGTGTAGTTGTAATGGTATATTATAATGATATAGATATAATAATATAATCACTCTCGAAGCACCAATCACTTTGGCACCAATCTATTTTTGTGATATATGAAATGAAATGAGTGTGGGGATTTTCGAAAAAAATGTCTTGACTGTGGAAAGCGTAGAACATGACTAGTCTCACTACTTAATCGTGACCAAAAGGGCTTTCAACCAAGTAAACACTTTGGAGTCACCTCCTAACAAATTGCAGCTACACACTTGGCCAAAGTCGAAATAGCTCTTTCTTTTGTGAAAGTGCCCTTATCACCCCCTAGATAACTTTTTCTTCTATTCTTGTGCTTAGATAAACGGCTCAAATAAAGCCGTGGCAACCACAAAATAGTCCTAGCGATTATGATTTCTAGCAATTTTGTCGTAGTAAAGCTCATGTAATGAACCTATTTCAAATCCTTCAAAATCTCTATCAAAAACCACGCTAAATTGTGCTTCATCTCGACATTAATATTTACAAGGAATAATTCTACAGCTGAAAGCTGTACTGTAATTTTGTCTCTGTATTCTGCTGTTGTGAAAATCTCCTAGGAACACACACATTTGTCAGTAGAGACAAAAAGTGGACGACAGATTTAAAAATAACACGCTAAGTCTGGATCTTGATCTGATTAGTTTCACCGATTCCGACCTCAGCACATCCTAGCGACAAGAACTCGAGCAAATTTTTCATTTTTTTCTACATTGATAATCGTCGAATATTGCCTAAATGGTTTTTAAATAGGCATACCTATATGCGGCTGAGAAGAAAGTGTAGATTTCTAAAATTTAGTAACATCAACAAAGGATAAAGAAGCAAAGTGTTCAACGCTGAACAAAGCCTAGGTAATACGCCACTTATACGATTCTATTCATAACGTTTAACGTTTCGTTTTCTGCCTTCTATAATTTTCATGGCAGGTTGCTAAGCGAAATACAACCACTACGTTGCTGAGATATTTGCAAAACTCTGGACCGCAGGTGTCTATGGTGGGGAACGAACGCGCTATTATCCTTACCGGGGAGTAACGCGTTCACCATCACACCATGCGGGTCCTTCGTTACGCCTGTCTCTCAGCTATTTCTATCGATCTTTTTGCCACAGCAACTCCCCGAAAAGGATAATAGCGCGTTCGTTCCCCACCATAGACACCTGGGGTCCAGAGTTTTGCAAATATCTCAGCAACGTTGTGGTTCTAATCATAACATTGCAGAGGTGAATGAATGCTTATTTGACCTGTACATTTGACTTGCGGTGGTTGCCGTGTCAGTGCTTTCACTATTACAGACGGGTTTGGTGTCAGCCATACCGCTACGGGAAAGTGTAGAGTTTAGTTTACCCAGAGATTAGGATCGAACCAACAACCACATGATCACTGTAGCACTGCTATAACAACCGCAATGAACGCATACTAGTATCGTCAATGCCTACCAAAAATAGTGAAAAGTTTCGACGTCGTTTTTGTTTTTTAATGTTATATTTTTTTGTTTTTGCACTGAATTTCAGGTTTCGAACTCAATAAATGCACACATACACTTGCTCTATTGACAATGGAGGATATTGTTGTGATATCGTTTCTTCTTCCTGAAAGTCTCATTCTCTGGGAAACCTGGTTGAAATCGACTTGTGGAACAAGTGAGTTTGTTCGTGAAAATTCTCCACGTTTACTTGGGTAATGTGTGATTGCTCAAATGATCTCTCGTTCCGAAAATTGTGAATCCTTTGACTAAACAATGAGAATTAGAAAGATTTCCTTCAATGAGAAGGAGCTTGAAGCATTGAGCTTTTCGGTTTTCGATCTCACCATATAGGACTTTTTGGAAAACACTAAGCGTTTTCAGCGCACTTTAGGATCATGATAAATTTAGAAGAATTTGGTGAAATAATCTAATCAGTCTTTAATATGTAAGGATTTTTTACATTAATCATCCAATACGTTTGTCTGCGATTCAGTTTCTTCGTTACCGTTAATGACTCCAAAAATCCTTTTGTCACCTTTTAATGTCTTTCGAAACAAACTGCATGTTTCACACGTTAACAGGTGGAGAACAATTTACTACGAAAGGAAGCATTTCTTGACAAAAATTTGAGCCGACAGGCTGAGATCTTGGAATTCCAGTCAACGAAAAGGTGCCATCAGTTTTTCCCAGTGAATTTGTTTTTCTTCAAACCGTTTTTCTTTCGTCATTTCACATAGGTTCTGTGGGGATGCTAATTGAAGATGAGAAAAAGATTTGGGGAACAGAAAAACGGTTCTAATGAGTGTAAGACCAACTATAACAATAGTCGTCGAGAACCATTAGTTGTATTAACAACTTTATTTCAGTTCATTATGAACACTCACGAAGTAATACCTTAAGCCGACTTTCTATTAAACTCGACGTTGATAAATAATTCGATATTTTTCTGATAAGCACACACGAGGTTGTTATTGTTTACCATTTATTCACAACGGCTAACTTTTTCGAGGATTTTGCCTTCTTCAGAACCTGGAAAAGTTAAGTTGATTGGTTAGTAGCAATCTGGTCAGCCGAACATCTCCATAATTCCAACAGAAAAACGTCTATACCTAATTTTCAATCGCATTGGAAATAAAAGAGCTTCTTTGCGCACTCACCGTTTTCTACCTTCTACTACTAGTCTTCCACCGAGTATTCAGCGTGGAGACCAACCTCTCAAGTCAAGACATGTCTGAGATATTGCATAAGATCTCCAGTGATAATAAAGCACTCCTTCCTGTGGTTTAATTTTTGATGCTTGAAATTTACAATGAAATGTTACGGAGGAAAACCGAAAGAAAACTGGTTTCCACTTTTGAACACTCAAGTTGACCATTCCGAAAACGCCCACATCACCAAATGCTACCGAAAGCCAAGTAACAAAAGCACGTTGGCGCGTCACCACTCCTCTCACTACCTCCACACATAAAAAGGACGCTTCTTAGAAGCATGTTTCGAACAGCCACGAGCGTGTGAACAGTAGGACAGCAGAAGCAAGAATTCTCGAAATTGTCGAGTAAGTATCCATTTCGAATGTCTACGAAATTGTAGGTCCTCGGGATAGGTGTAAAGGAAAGCCGAAGCACCTAAACGATAACTCTAGTGACAATAAGGTCCCATTTATCCTGCTCCTCATCTCAAACCAAATAATTGCAGCTATAACACATTGCATAATAAGGGCTGAAGTAGAGAAATCGGTGACAGTTATTGAAGTAACTTCGAACACTGTAAGACTTCAGTTACCTCGAAAAAAACACGCACACACACGCACCGCAAGCGCATATGCGAATGCACCACCCACGCAAGCACTTGCACACTACACACCGTTTTCTGTGAGTCTGCAACTGAGTCGCCCACGTGCAGACCAACCGTATGGAGCTCACCTGGATGGGTAATGAGCTCCTCTTACATCAAAATATCAGTCCAGGACGTTGTGTAGGATCGCATGTGATATCGATGCACTCTTCCTTCGACTTATTTCTGTATTCTTGGAATTTACTCGGAATACTTCGAGAGTTTTACGCGCTGAAGCTTTAGATTTCTGCGTGGAGATGTTGACTTCCACTTCAAAATCTTCTCATTTATATAGTTCCTTCCTATGAGGGCTTAGTGGAGTGGTTTGTTTACCTCTACATTTACAATTGGTGAAACACATCGCAGCCCATCTCAAGAACACCGAAGTGCTCTTGGATTGTGTATGTAACACGCGTCCTACTAGCGCGTAAATGATGGATTCCTTCGGTGTTGCCTTTCTTTCTAAATGCGAATGCGTGAAATTACTAATCTATGAAAACCATCGCCGAACCCCTTCTGTAACACGAAACAGGAACAAATATGTATGCCGTCCTGCTTCGGTTACACGTGGCTCTCTAGAAGCAGTGCATAAACTGTTCAGTTTTCAGATGGACCAGAAATATTATGCATAAATAAGGGAATTGGCAATAGGACTGCGACAAGCTCGAAGCCTTTTCATCGCTCTTTTTCTAAGGCAGAAGCTACATTAATCGACCTCCGACAGCCTCTCTACTGCAGAACTATAGAAAGATGATTGTTTTGTCGTCTCCTCCAGAGGATAGGAGATGGACAAATGTTTTGAGTTATTGAACGAGTATTCAGTGTACATCTGACTGATATTTCAACGTAAGAGGAGCTGACTGCCCATCCAGGTGAGCTCCGTACGGTTGGTCTGCACGTGGGCGGCTCAGTTGTAGACTCATAGAAAACGGTGTGTTGTGTGCAAGTGCTGTGCGTGGGTGGTGCAATCGCATATGCGTTTGCGGTGCGTGTTTTTCTTACTTATTGTTAGATATTGCTTAATATTTTGATTGCTACAGGATCGTCGGTTATTCTCACCGTTTTTCTTTCCTGGATTAATAATATTTCTAAGAAAAGTTTCTGAGTACCTGTTTTTCTTCCGAAATTCTCATGAACTTCATATGGATTTTTTGATCTGCCTATTGATTACCAGCTTACAGTAATGTGTATTCAAGCGACTTTTTCGAAAGTTCTGAACTCGTTCGTTTCTAAATAAGATTTTACTGAATTAAAGCCATCGCTAGCAACTGCTGTTTAGCTATCGCAACTTTTAGTAACTAAAAGGGAAGGTTACAAATTTAAAGATAACGGAAGTTGTTAACATCGGCTTGTTGTTTTGTAAAAGTTTATGTTTTCTGTTAGGTACATGCTTCTATATGCAGCTACAACATGCACCTCAACGAACGCAATTTTCCTCCGTACTCTTCAAAGAAGTACGATGTCACTTACATGTAGGTTTTTTATCAATGCTCAGTAGTCCGCGGTTTCTTTTACTCATTCAAAGCCTCAAATATTCGATTCCATTTTTGCGCCTTTTTACTTCGCAAGCACCACATTGTTATTGAAAATGAATGCTTAATTTGTTTGAACACTTAGATAAAAAATAAACTAAGAACATTTTTTTAACCTGCTTCGGAATAAACACTTCCCTCGTAGCAGTTAGGTTAAATTTCTTCCAAGGGTAATAACCATAGAATTGCAACTTTTTATTTATTGCATACAATTTTTTTCATGGCAGAGTATTACATGAAATAGAATCACAAAGAGGCTAAGATATTTGCAGAATTCGGAGCACCAAGCCAGTCCCGCCGGAATGGGTAATCGCGGGCTCGTGACTGGCCTAGGTTTCTGAGTTTTGTAGATGTCTCAGCATCATCGTTGTTGCATAATAACTATATTTTTCCTGAGAATAAATGTTGTTTAACCTGAATTAAATAAGCGAGAGAAAAAATCTTGTGTCTTACTAAAATTGCGTTTTATCAACGCTTAGTGTTTGACAGCTTATGAAACAAATACATTATGGAATAGTTGATTATCTGAATAGCTGGGTGGTCCATTTACAAAAGTTATGAAAAAAGCGTGTGGGTTTCAGCACAGCTTCCAATTTATTGAGGTAATCTGCTGGTGGAAAATGTTTTCTTTCTACCACGGATTCTCGGAGACCGCGTTGAGACTTTCCCTGGTCGTTGCCAGATGCCTCAGTTTGCGAAGACATTGGTAAATAGAAAGCCTATTCTACCGTTTGCAAATAGAAATAAAAAATCTTGTAGGCGATATGTTCGTTGCAAGTTTATCGTGAGAATACGACATTTGGTTCTACGCGCCACTGGTGCAGTCAAGTCTCCAATATCTCCCGGGTTGTGAAATTGGTATCAAAGATCTTTCCGGAAATCTTACGCGTACCCTCAACTATTTTCTGTGCTTTGTAGTAAGGACTTAAAAACTCTGTATTAGAGCTATTCAAGGATTCGAAAGAAAATCATCTCATTGCCTTCAATGAGATTCATCAGGAAGACGAAGTTTTCAAATGTGAGCCGACCTCAAATCCAAATTCGAAGACCTCCGTGGATGATGGATATGAGGCAACGAGCCAAGTGGAAGAAGTGCCGGAGTATTATGCAAAAACGAATTATATAAGTAGAAAACAAATTCTTGAGTAGCAAATAGTTGTTTGAAAATCGACTAATGTTCAGATGTTCAGGATTCTCGGTTAGCGATTGTGTACGGTCGACCGGCGAAACTTCTTCTCTATTGCGACATTCACTTCACAGTGATTAATGTCAACGCGAATAATCTGATTACGATTCAACAATCTCAGTCTACATCTAACGATTCGTTTGTGTTTATGTGTGCACGAAGTGAAACATTTCAACGAATGCTATCAAAAGCTACAACTGAGGTCGGTCTCATTTATAACACGCTGTGGAGAATCTTCATAGACAAAGAGAACATCCATTAACTTCGAATATTTAAAAAATTTTAATAGTTTATTTATAGTTTCGATTATTAGATAAATGATCTAGTGGTGATAATACTGATTGATAACATACTTGTTTAAAGTTCTATTAGGCTTCGAGCAAAAGATTTCATATTTCAAGACGTATCATATATCATTGAAACCAATTGGCGCAACTTTCTAGTGTTCACCCCTCCTCTAATAAAGTCCTCGCGATTACTGGATATTAAATATTCATCTTGGATCCTCTACAATATATTCCAAGACTCTGAGCGCCTAACTACTTTCCTCCTTTTCTAACTTTGCTCTCAACCTTTAAATCTTTCTTTTAAACCAAGATGGTAAAAGCTCGCATTGCTTACAACTTTCTTGTTAATCGATCATTAGAAGGAAACCGTGTCACTTTCTAGGAGTGGTATCCTTTTTCTTTTTCCTTCCGTCATGTTACATATGTGAAACATATGTGAGGAAATCAGTATATCATTATATAGTAAACTCTGAAAAGCAAGTAGCAAATTCTCCGCGAAATTTTTGAAATTTTTTTTGAATTATCTTACATTATCTTACTAACATTATCCGTGTTTAGTTTTCTTTTCATACATAGGAGTCATTATTTTCATCATAGCGATTATTGTTTTAGCGACAGTTATGAATTCCGATCTGTTATCGAAGGCTTCCAATTGTCATAATCGCTTCTTTGCTCTACTGCCCTTCAAACTCACTATCTGCCTTTCACCTACCTTCCCGCCTCTTTTTTTCACTTGATCATTTACTTTTGTAATTTCCATACACGTTAGTAACGCTATGAAACTATTCCGCTTGCAGAAAGGATTGCATCGTTATCTCAGTAAAAAAAACTCCGAAGGAGACTGGATGCCAGATTTTGTAGTATCGAAGCAAAATGAACAACTAGACACTGAGTCACAGTTCTCACAGGCTTTCAGTGGGCTATTTAACTTTTTTAACATGGAGCAGTCAATGCAGACGAAGAAGTTGAACCTCGACAAGGAAAAGTCAAAATCGGGGTTTGTTCTCAACACTTTGTACGACTATTGAAGGAGGATCTTTTGAGCTTTGAAAATCGTACGTTCTTCGTCTTGTCACTTTCAATTGTATTGCAGTCATTTAAAAAATGTTTCAGTTTCCACGTTGGAGGTACTAGTCCACATAAGTTCCACTCCAATCTACCTAGAGCTAATTCATGTAGGTAATACTGGATTGCATTGCAGACTTTTAACAAAGTATATGTATATATATATATACATATATATAAATATGTATATATATACCAGACGTGTGCGCGGGTGTGCTTGTGTATACGCATATTGGATTCTTAACTTCGATTTAGCCTAGAAATGGAGAGTTAATCCAAAAATTCTTTTGGAAATCATCTCTGTACTACCGTGAAAGAACCTTGCCCTACCAAATTCTCCAAAAATAGTGAAGATAAAGAAACCACATTTTTGTGATAGCGGAAAGACTGCTTTAGGTTGGACAAAATCCAGAGGCTCCTAAAGTGCCAGCTTATTCTAGCCTGTTGGAATATGATTAACCCATTGCAGAAATGATGAGCAAAGACAAAACCCTTAGCGTATCTTGTTGTCGAAATGAGCAAATGAGAAAGTCCATTAAATGCCGTTTGTCGCATTGAAAGCGAATAGTAATATATTAAAAGACTATGTGGAATTATTATTATTGCCAATGCGAACTTTACCATAGACATCCACTGTTTTGATCGATTAAGGACCACATTAAAACGTTTAGTCCGAATGGTTTGCCTAACCGATTTTGCAGTTGTGACAAAGCTTTACTCGTAACCAGAGAAGCATCTTCCTTAAACCCTTATTAGATGGATACCATTATACAAAACGTCACAACGTTGCCAAGAAATATGATCGGCTTATTCAAAGGCATCACCCTTACTCAGGGAAAGGAAAGTTGGTAATTCCAAAGTGAGAATACACTTTCAGCGAATTTCTTAGCATAATACGTTAGCACGTAAGGCAGGAGGTAACTACCAACACTAGCATCGAAGTTCTGAACGTACGCAGAAAAGCGAAAGGAATACACCTCAAAGTGGGAAACGCAGAATTATCGATTAAGGCTGCAGAGGACTGAACTCTCCGACTCGAACAGTCGGTTTATTCCGAAAATCAATGAAGAAATCGCTGGTTCCTTGATGAGCAGACATGAGGTTGTTATTATACTATTTATTCCCAATAGGTGACTTTCCGGCGGTTTCGCCTTTCTCAGGGCTTTGGAAGGTGAATTTGACATGAAATCTGCTCAGTGAAACACTTTCACAACCTCTAAAGTTAAGACTTTATGCCTAAAATCTTTTAATTTTCTTTCATAGTTCATGCGTTTGGTTTCATCTGCCGATTTTATGAAAGTGGTTGAAAGCGTGTCAAGTTGACTTTTCCACGATGTAAAGAAGGCGAAACACCCGAATCGTCAACTATTGTGGATGAATAAATGCAGTAATAACAGCCTTGTATCTGGTCATCAAGAAAAGAGCGAATTACCAATGGTAGTTTCGCCTATGGGTTTATGCGTTCATGTGCTCAATTAGAAAATCCCTTGTCGGAGATGCTCACTAAAACCGTAAACAAAACCAGCCTTCTTTTAGTCGCTCATCGAGTTTCGCGAGTTAGCTCAAGCCTCAATTCATCTGCGTCGCACTTCATGCCTAGCACTTGCTTTCGCTTGCTGGAAGGCATCAAAGAACGCGCTTTCCGTGTGAATTCCTTTGTATTGTTTATAGCAAGAGATATCCTATGAACCTCTTCCTAGATCTTTTCAAAGTAGAAGCATCTTATTGGAAGAGACCTTAACTGCCTCCCTATACATTATTTCCTACTTTATTTCACTCTTTTTGCTGATTCGACTGCAGACAAGCACATCCACACATGTTTTTGCATACCGTATGTGTATGTGGAATGTACACGACATATGTGGCCGTATTGATTTCTATGACTAACATTTCAGTGAGCTTGAGCACAATTTCAATACGCATTCGCTGAATAAAGCATTTTCAGTGGCTTTTTATCATAACGCTAAACCATCTGGAGCAAGAGACGAGGCAAGTGCCAATTATGTGAACATCAGCAAGCATAGTGTTTCAAGGCTAATTCTAGATAGAGATCAAGGTGGATCGGAGAGGGAACGACGTGAGTGGATATTCTGAAAATTTTCATAAATTTGGAAGGGGTCGAACTTTAAGGTTGGCGAAGATAGCTGGATAAAATAGGACGGTTATGCGTGTACTTTTAGCACTCCTCCGTCCCTTTAGCACTCATTTCAATGTGTAGTGCTTGAAGCAGTAACACACGCTGTGATTTTCACATTGTTTGCTCCGAAGTTTTAAAAAAACTTATATGATAGCTGCATAAAACTGGATTTTGACTAAAAGGAGGGGAAAGATAAATCCTTCGGCATTGATCCAATCTCTTAGGATGCGGTATATATTCGAATTAATTCGCAGTGTCGTTGAGGTGAATAGAATGCAGATTTAACCTATACTATAGCTTTCGATGTGCTGATTTTTTTCGTAACAAATTTACTATCAAATCCCAGAACTATGGAATATCCTGAAGGACCGAACTGCAAACAATATTTATATTTGAGGGCCACTTTTCCAAACCGTTGCTCTGAACTCGCACCTATGCGTGCATTTTGATTAACATAGTTAAATTGTACTTACTGTGTGGCTTCTTCTTCTGCAATCGTGAGGTTGTTAATAACATATTGAATGAGATCGTATAATGAAATAAGCTGTAAAGTCTCTACTTAATCTAATTTCCAGTATACGCACCATCCAGGAAAACTAGTCGATTTGAAAATTCTATCGCTGGCTATGAGAACTATCAAAATCAGGACAGCATTCTACAAAATCGTATGGGTATGTGAAATGAATTTTTCTAGATAAATTTTTTGTGTTGGCCAAACTATGTTTATTCAGGAAGTAGCATTCACAGAAAGAGTTTACCGAACTACATCAATGCTTATCAATCTTCGCCGGGTAAAAGGAGTGAGTGTTTTTCTCATAACGTTTCTTAAGATGATCACGTTCCAGTTCACGACTACTGAGTCTATTAGAAATTTGTTGCTTTTTTGCCGGTCGTAGATTTGCGCATTATCTTCGTTACTATTATCAAATAGTCTAGTTGTAGGTAACGAGGAAAACAGGTTACTTACACGTTCTCCGAATCATGGATATCGTAGAAAATCCGAGTTGGCACTGGCACATGCTATGGACAAACCTTCGACCAGGTTAATTTCTTGGCAATAAAATGGAAGCTGTTCGATGATGGTTTCATAACACTAAGACCATGCCTTCAGCAAAGGTCGATCTGTTGGCGACTTGAAGACGGCTCGCTTAGAGGAGTCGCGCTACGAAAATTGGAGGAAAGCAAAGAAGTTCATTTCATCATTTAAGCCAAAATCACAATCAGATCTGAATCATAGGAACAAAATGGTAATAGTTAGAATTATGACAATCTAGCGAATCTCCGAAGAAATTAAAATGACGCCTCGGCATTTAAAGTGTTACTATAGATAATCAGATACTGCGAATTTTGACTTTGACTATCAGATTTCTGTCTCTCATTTTGAGTGTATTTGAGCTTGAGCCGCTCTTTCCTTTATTCTTCAACATTTCTAGAATCGTCACAGTCTAGTGAAATCTTCGAGTACCGGAGCTCTACAATTTGCGACATCCGCCCGATACGTGGGTAACAATCACCTGTTTTTATATTCGCTTTTGAAATGGCTTGCGCTGTTGGAGGAGGTTTGATTGCAAACATTAAATATCCTTTGCAAGAAACTAGCGACTTTCAAGAGATTGCTGTTACAAGCATTACACTAAGGTTTTTTTAAACTTTTTTCTTGAGAAACTAATTTTTTTCGAAGAAATGTTGTCACATGCATTACACTAAGGATTTTTGTATGCTTTTACCTACCATCGAAGGAATACTTTATGACAAATTTCTGGGATGATTCTGAATGATCACTGGCCATTCGCCTTGGGCATGATCTTAATATGTTCTTAACTGTGAGAGGCCCTATCAATTTCAGTACAACAATGAGGAAGAATCGCTGGATTCTTTCACGGACTTTGACGAACCTCCGCCTTCACTTGATCAAGTCGTTTGTAAACCAACAATTATGCAAAAGGAGGTACAAATAAGGATTTATTAAACCATAGATTTTTTCACTTTTAACTCTTTAAGCTGCAAGAAGTAACAATATGGTAATTTTTTACCGTGTTCTTTTAAATGTATTAAATGATGAGCTACTACTTCTTCGTGATGAAATAATGAGCTATATTAGCCAGCACGAATGCGATAGAGTAATTTATTTGTAATATTTCCATATTTCTAGTTTTTCGAAATTCGGTTTTTTACGCAGTAGGTAGAGAGTGAAGGGTTGCATAGAAACATCGTGAACATTGTAGTTTAAGGAAAGTCCACCAGAGGGTCTCGTTCGGCCAAAAGAGGATATTCAAATCAGACCAAGAGCTGGTGTAAGCGCAGTTTTAGCTCGCAGACTAGCTGCATCTGTGACCGGATCATTTTCCGTAAGCACTGAAATTTATTTCTCTACGAAATGATCTATGAAGAGCGTTTTTTGTCTAGAAGTATGATGGTGAAAGAGGAGCGACTCACCACTACCAAGGTGGTCCAATTAATGAACCTCTTGAAGCCGCATCACCTCCCATGCTAGAAGCTCTAGATGGTGAGTAAGGAGCCCTCTAACATTACTGAGACGTAAACCGCGCTAGTAACTGCTTTTAGGAATAGAAGCAGCAGTGTATCGAGGACAGGATCGTCTAAAAGAGAGTGATCGACGCGCTTCCAACGTTTCGTTTCACAAAGTACGCCTATTTTTTTATTACAACATTAAATGCTTTGTTGTTTAGCAATTGCGAAATCACTTAAGGTTATTCCGATCCCTATTAGACAAGCGAAACCAAAGAGGTCCCCGACAAGTATCAAGCAAAAATTGGGACTACGGATAACATCATCAAGAAACTCAACGTCGTACTCGGAAAGCACTAGGTAAGTTTAACACTAAATTCCACTGCAATTTTAACAAAAAATTCATAAAAGGGCCATGCAATACACACTTGATCGACCGCTTATTCGATCCGGTATCTTTGGATGAGAAGTCCTCCCGTGTCGCTTGGGTTTTGGTTAATTGGTACAACGCTTGTCTGAGAAGATATATGAGCGGACATGATAAATTAGTAAGCTCCACAATCCAATGCATAGGCTATATATGCATCCCATCACTTCTTATGCATGATGATGCCGAATGCATGTCTCGTTCCTCAATTGCTGACCAACCCCGAGAGCCCTGTCTTTTATCTTCCACGAACACAGAACCCACGTATGCAGCCATGAAGATTAATAAATTTTCTCATACCACGGAGAATATGACGCAGAAAAAGCCTTAAAGTGAAGGGAAAAAGTTTGACGGCTTAGAATGCCTATACCTCGGTTTAATAATTTTCGTTATCCCTTCTCAAGTATGGTAAAATGAGTTGAATTTGCGCGCGTTGTAATTCATCTGCTTTTCATTCAGTAAAATTTTATTTCAAGTGAAAGGAAAAAGTGTCTCAAAAACGTTGATAGCATTTTAAAGTTAATTATTAACAACATATTCACAGATCGTCCAGTGAATCCTTATCATCTGACGCCAGATCACGTATATCACTACGCAAACGGACAAACTCTCCACCGAAGGTCTCTGCCCCTGTCCTGTTACCGAGGCAGTCCAGTTCACATACTTTATTAGTGAGTGTCATTTTAAATGTTAGGATTGGTTTTCACATTCTTCAGAGATTTTTCATCAGTGGTTAATGCCTAATGTTGATTGGTTGTCCCTATGCATCACGCAGCGCTGTAAGAATCCCTTGATCTCTTGTCAGTATCTTCTAAGCTCATCACGTGTACGAAGTTTCCATCTGGAAGTTCAGTAATAGTGAGTCACTATTAGGGCTAGCCACCTACATATGAGGGGCGCGTGTGACGCATTGGTCAGAAGGGCCCTACAACACACATGGAATCAATCCCCGCGCCCATGGCTCACCAAGGCTTCCATCACTCCGGTGTCGGCAAATTGGTACCAGACTTGTCTGAGAGGATAGCGCCACTGGCTCGATAATTTGTTAGGCCACCGTAAATCATTGTAATGATCAGATATGCATTCAATCACCTCCAAAAAGCTAAAAAAAAGAAGCTCTCGGCATTTCAATCCCTGAGGGATACACCATGCATTCGACTTCATTAAGCATCGTTTAGATTGAATACCTAATATCAATCAATCACCTTTTAACGAGGCTTAATGAAGTCGAATGCATGGCTCATCCCCCAGAGATTGATCATTGCCGAAAGCTTAATTCGTTATCATTTACTCTCCAATGAACAATATAGTCACTATCAGCTACCAAGTGCTGGCGACTTAGGAATGTTCTAGCACTGCTCCGAAGTCTCCATAAAGAGAAAATCGTAGCCATTAATTTGCCAGTGGAATAGGATTTCTGCTGGTGTTCGCATGATTATTTTTGATTTGTGATGATGAGTAATTACCACGTTTCAGAGTATCAAAGTTACTAGAAAAATGTACAATAATAGTCTTTTAATAACACGCTGTTTCTTTCGTTGTTTTCTGAAATGGGAATAGGTAGTTAAACTTTTGGCCCGAAATCTTTTTTTTTAGTAATTTTGTGCGCTGCCTTAATATCTCGGGAACAAGAGCAGATCATCTGAATCGTTTTAGCAAGCCAGTACATCCGGAGAATCTTTGGAATCAGAACAGACAGCCAAAACGAATTCTCCATCGTCTACAAAGTCTTTTTCACGTGTGGATGCGAGCGTGCAGTCGTTAGGTATGTGGTTTGCTTGATTAATACTTTTTTTTCTTTTTTTAAATCACAAAATAACAATCATCGAGTGTGTCACGATTCGCCCATTTCAAACCCTCAGCTCTCCGAAGAAATGAAGAACTATTTTGTTGCAAGTGCTAATTAATTGCCACTTTTGAGGTTATATGACTAAATATATACTTGCTGTTTCTATTTGGACCAAGATGAAGCTTAGCAATTGAAAAGCCTTAGAACTAATCAAGATGCAAAGTTTATGACATAATATTTATGCTTAATATTTGTGTAAATATACACATATTTACATATGCCTATACATATAATTTCAAACATTTTCCTATTCAGAAAGTATTACGACCAGTCGTCAAGTCGATTATAGTAAAGTGTCACTGCCTGCTGCAGCTAATTCGACCTCAAGTTCGAATTCAGTGAATTCTCGAGTGGAATACGTTACGATTGATCCGGTCTCAACAACAGCGGCACGAGAGGTTGCATTAAAACTGAAATTTATCGTAATGGACGGCAGTGATTGGCGTGTTTATATGTGATGTGTTAACCACAGAGTACACGAAGAAGGAAAACCATATGCGGATACAACATTACTTCTGCGAAGAATCGCTAAATAATTCGCTTCGTACCGCTAAAATGTCTAGGATTTAAACGAATTTCATTTTTTCAGGCTTCAAGCCTACAAGAATCACCAGCAACATTTAGACGATCACGTGCTATTTCAACGTCGATGACAGCAGTTCCAGTAGTTAGGAGAAGATCGCAGGTCAGTGACAATATGTGCATATCTAAGATTGCACCATCATAGTTCAACTAAGACATTTGAAATCGTCGTTTTCATTCTCAGCAATCCCGAGGTTGTTAAACAGCATACGTTTCCTTCCGTACACACATGCAACACAACCGTAGCTGACGTTTCGGCAGAATTGCTTTCTTCAGAGCCGCTTTTTTTACCTGTCTTCCAATGAGGAAGAACAGCCGCTCAGAGTCGCATATGGTTGACTCCTCCGAATTGATAATTCAATGCCGAGGTTAATCGAAAGTCAATCCTGGGAGCCAAGACATTTGAGTAATTCAGGAATAGAGGCTTTCTCAGCTCATTAATGGATTATCACATTTTCAACATGCTGTAATAGGAGTTTTGATGGCTAATACCACTACTATTTTTATTCCTTTAAAGCCAAATTTTTGGATTTATAGTACTACTAATGAGATTTTATCATTCTTTCTAGGGTCAGACAAGCACTTCTGACTGCGTGTCCCTCGGACTGTCGACGAGACAAGGCTTCTTCAGGAAATATAGAAAACTGCGAAGGAACAAAAAGAATACATCATGTTCTATGTCACAGTTGGATATATGACAAATGTTATTAAATTTACTAATACAAGTTGCAATGAAAACGTTCACCGTCTTTTTTTGTAAAGAGATTCTGTTTAGGCGAAATCATTCACCTGCCACCTGTATCACCTGTAGTCCCATTGGCCGTCGAGTGACTCGAGCAGGCGCCAGTAATTCTTCCCTTTTTCCTTGTCACGTGCAAGAGTAGTCCAGTGGGTTCTGCTCGCTTTAAGGACTCGTCGAGCATCATACATTTTTTCAAGGCTCTTTGTGGAGAACTCTGACCATCGGGTCGGTGGTCTTCCTGAAGTGCGTTTGACATTCCGAGGAATCCAGTAACTAACGGCTCTTGTCCATCCGTTGTCATTCACACGCTTTACGTATATGGCCCACCTTACCTTCGACTGTTTGGCGTGCAAAACTGCAGCTTTGATTTTTCATCGTTGATGCAGATCGGGGCTTCGGATCCCATTCCTTGTGTGGAACGGGATACACCTAGCATAGTCCTTTCGATTGCGCGCTGACTGAACTTTCATCCTGCTTACGCAGCTACCAGGTTCCTGACGTATCCGTTAGGGTAGGAAGTACCGTTGAGTCGAAAAGGTAGGCACGGAGTCAGGTGTTTATTGTTCGCTTCACTACATCCTCGATGCTCTTCAAAGCTCCCCAAGCCGCTCGTTTCTTTTTCCTAATCATTCATCGTAATGATTTCCCGACCTAGATAGATATAACTGGAAGATTTGGAGATATTCGTTCCGTTGAGCGTGAATGAGGCACGCGAAACCAATCCGTTCTTTATGAATATCGCTTTTGTGAGTAATCAATATGTATTCTTTCTTGATAAGCTTGCACGAGGTTGATAAATATATTCATTTTCGGCTAAGGTTTCGACGTCTTCGTCTTCCTCAGATCCGGTGATCCGAGTCGAAGGTCCATGCTTGTTGTTCGTCTCGACGTTGCGTCTTCGCCTTCATGTCGAGCCAGATCTTCCTCAGTGATCCATCTTCTCGAATGAGGCATCCTCACTCAGTGATGCCTTTTTATACACGATGCTGATGGTGGATATATAATGACAATGTCCGGTGGTAACAACTTGTATTTCTTCCGGACATACATCATTGCGCACATCGTGCAGAGGTCGGTGTAGTATCAGCTAGCACAAAGCGTAGTAATATTTCGAAACCGACCTTCGCTAAACCTCGATGTGACTAATCATTATGTATTCTTTCTTTGTTTAAGCTTTTGTGAGATTTAGTCGAAGACCAATCGTTCCACAGGCTTTATTAAAGTCGTCAAGCATACGTTCTGCCTGGCTAATGTTTGGTGTTGTGATGACGATGTCATCAGCAAGGCGAAGATGGTGCAACTGCCGACCATCGATTTACACTTCCGTATTATCCCATTTCAATGTTCGCATGATGCTCTGGGGGGTGGTGGTAAGTAATTTTAACGAGATGATATCGCCTCGCCTTACTCCTCTTTTGACATCAATGTCAATATCGTTGTAGATTGGTGATACCTTGGCTGTGGAATTTTTGTACATCTCACGAAGAAGCTTTGCGTATTGAGTAGGAACCCCTTGACTATCAAGGGCTTCCAGGACTGCTTCTATCTCAACTGAATCAAAGGCCTTCTGTAAATCGATGAAAGTGAGACAAAGCGGTCTTTTGCACTCTCGCGATGCTTCCCTGCTTGTGCCTTGTTACTGCGTGGATGTGGTCCATCGTACTAAATCCTTTTCGAAACTCTGCTTGCTCACATGGCTGTCCTTCGTCTAGTGTTCTGTCAATCCCGTTTTGCGACAACTCCAGTGAAAAGTTTGTAGACCACAGAGAGTAAGCAGATTGGGCGGTAGTTGCCGATATCGTGCAGGTCACCCTTCTTTAACAATAACACGATCTTGCTGGGCTTCTACTGAGTAGGGACTTTGCATTCACACAGGTAACGCGTGAAGAGCCGAATCAATGTGTTTACGAGAACTGGCGGAAGGTTTTTTAGGTGTTCTGGTCTTATCCTGCTCGGACCTGGTGCTGTTCGATTTTTCACCGACGAAATGGAATGTCTGATTTCGGAAGGGAGAACTGGTGGTGGAACGTATCCATCCTCCTTTATTTCATATGACAGAAGATGCACGTGGCAATTGAAGAGATTTCAGTTGTATTCGTGAATGATTTTCCACATTGCCTTTCTGGACGCTGCAACTGTTCCGTCTGGGCGCCGGTGTGCACAGGGAAAAATGTAGATTTACTGGCACCCGGTCGAGTCACTCGACGGTCAACGGGACTACAGGCGATACAGGTGATCTCTGCATGTTTCGCACTACTAGATGACTTAAAGTTTCAACGGCTGCTTTTTCTCGAGATACGAATTTACATGGAAGTGACGTCTTTTCGACAAATAACCAAAAGATCAGTTTTTATTTTGAATTCAGTTTCTCATTTTTGTTGGCTGTCTATGATGCGGCGTTGAACCCTTTATCAGAAAACTTGCAGAAGGACCTTCTTCTGGTAAAAGAATTTTTCCGAATTCGATCCTTTCAACCCAAGATTCAATGAAGCACCCAAGTTGAGCGCTTGTTCTTTCCCGAAGGATTGCACCAACGTTGCGTTTTTTTACACTTCATAACAGAACGAAACGTGGTCGCTTTAGGAGTGCAAATGACCCGAGTGAAAAGTTTGTAGACGACGGACAGTAAGCAGATTAGGCGATAGTTGCTGATATCGTGTAGGTCACCCTTCTTGAACAATAGCGCGGTCATGCTGGTCTTCCACTGAGTAGGGATCTTGCATTCAGACAGGTGACGTGTGGAGAGCCGAGTTAGTGCGTTTACGAGGACTGGCGGAAGGTTCTTCAGGTGTTTTAGTCTTTTCCTGTCCAGACCTGGTGCTGTTCGATTTTTTACCGACGAAATGTCATGTCGGATTTCGGAGGGGAGAACCGGTGGTGCAACATATCCATCCTCCTTTACTTCATATGAAGGAAGGTGGCCGTGGCTATCGAAGAGATCCGAGTAGTATTCGTGAATGATTTTCTCCATTGCCTTTCTGGACGCTGTAACTGTTCCGTCTGGGCGCCGGAGTGAAATAATTTTAGACTTGTAATTGATGATGCTTCGATTGGCTCTGCGAATGCTTTTCCCATACTCTGCAGCTTCGACCATTGCTGCTGCTCTTCTTTCTTTAAGATCTTCTTTTATCGCCAATCTGCACTGTTTCGCAAGTTTGGACATTAGTTCGCGATTGCCTACAGCTTGTGCGATTCCACGTTGTCGTATAAGTTCGAGTGTTTCTTGAGACAGACGTCTCTTGGTGACTGTCGAGCTCTAAGCTTTCATAGTGCTAACTTGAAAATGTTGAATCAGCTGATCGCATTCTTCGTCGACGTTATCGACAACGATGTTTTCCCAACAGCCGACAAGGAGTTGAATAAGTCCCAGTTTATGGTGGTTCTGGGACTTCGTTTTTTAAGTTTAGAGGCTTTTTGTCTTTTCCGCGAGAAATAGAATCTTGTACGAAGGAGACGATGGCCTGATCCCGTGCAAAACCTTCTATTTACTATGATGTGGTCTATTTCGTTATGGTACTCTCTATTGGAAGACTCCCACGTCCAGCGCTGAAGGTGGGGTTTCTGGAATTGCGAGTTACCATGGATTATCTTGGTCGCCATGATAAACTCAGATAGCCGCTCACCCTGCTCGTTCCATTCTAATCCGTGGATTCCAATGTGACGTTCTTCAGACGTTTTTCTTGATCCAGTCTTGGGGTTGAAATCTCCAACGATGACCTTGAAGAATGTGTCGTCTTCTCTGCAGAACTTTTCCAATTCCACATAGAACGCATCGACTTCTTCTTCGACATAGTTTTGATGTCGCCGCGTAAACGACGAAGATTGGAAAACTCCCAAAATCCCGGAGCTGATCCACGTCTTTTTAATTGTAAACGTCCGATTCGGGTTGTTAGTTGTTTCAATGAATCGATGTTCATGGACAAACTCGTGTTGACGAGAACGCCGACGCCGCCGACTCCTCTACTGTCGCATGTTCGGGGAAACTATTCTTTTCGGTGTCATAGACGGCGTTGAAAGGCTGGCATCTCCTCGTCTCGGCCGGGCCGATGACGTCGCACCTTATCCTCCTTGCTTGCATGAACAAGTCTTCTATCGAGGACTCGGATACAAGTGTATGTGCATTGTAGGTGCAGA